CCAGGCAGCAGCCTGCTGGGTCTGGGAGCTCAGACCCCCCTCGGACAGGGGCTGCTGCTGCCCCACGCTGCTGCCTCCGCATCAGAGGCGGTACCGGCAGCTGGTCTGCACGGGGAGCTGTTTCTTAAACTGGCTCCCCGGGAGGGGGTCAGAGTGCACTGGCTGCCAGCCCCGGCCCTGGGGTCTATCGAACAGTCATGTAACCCATACGAGTGGTGGCTACACGACTGTTCAATTCCACACTATCTAACCTCCCCACACTTAGTGCCTAGGAAAATCAGGTTGTGTCTGAAACCCGTGGTGGGCAATAACAGGGTGTCTCGGCACAGAGAAGACTGTGCGCTTGTTCGCTCGCGCTGGCCGCGTATTGTTCTTGCCAGCTGCGCTGCCTGGATCGTGCCTGTTGGCGACCAGCGAGCGTGCCATAGCGCTGACCCATGGAGCCTGGTATCCTCTTCCCACAGCTCTCGGCCCCTGTCCGTGCAGCTTGCCCACAACTCTGCTCTGTGCTCCAGCGGCCCAGTCCCCGCTCCAGGGGGTGGGTGGAGATATAATCCGTTCCTGTTCCCTGCGGCAGGGACAGGGCCTGGCAGCCTTCAGTCCGGGGAGGACTGGCTGGAGCTTTTTGTACAACTGAAGTGCTGCTCTGGAGTTGGCCAAGTGAGATGTTAGGAGACTCTCCTTCCACCCACTCCCTGCGCAGGCCAGCTAAGGTCACTTCCCCAACCCTCTGCAGATCGCTGCCTGCATACACAGCGCTGTGCGCAGCTGCACTTCTCCTGGGATTCCCGCTTGCTGGGGGTGTCTGTCCCAAAGCCTCCAAGAAGCAGTGCGGCGGGAGGGGCCAGTGGGTTACGTTTGGTTGGTTGCTGGGGTTTCCTTCTGTGATCAGAGGCTAAAATTTGTGCTCAGACGTGGCTCTCTCCCAGGGATTTCCCTACCCCCCCCCCTATGGAGGTGTATACCACCCCGAATTTCCTCAACACCCCCCCAGTTTTGTGAACTATGGTGCCATACAGCCCACCTTCACCCTCACGGCGTCACCTCTCATTGGCCCTGACACCTCCCCTTGTAAATTCAAACACCCTCCCCCCCCAATTTCAATTCCTGGGGAGGCTACTGCTTTCTCCTGAAGAGCTTGCAAGCTTCCTACCTCAGCCAGTGTGCTCTCCTGCCTTGGCTGCAAAGTTAACGAATAGCACCTGCCAGCTGGCTTGCGGGTAAGAGCGACTCCTCCCTTTGCAGGCGTTTCCTCCGGGTTGGACGTGCCATAGAAGCAGGCTTGTTTGGGGGAGAGGTGTCTTGGGCTTCGTCGCCCTGAGTGGTGTAGAGAGCTGCGTGGGGGACGGAGGGCAGCTCGGACTCAGCACAGCCTTGAGAAGCCAGCTGCACGTGCTGGGAAGCAAGGCTCCTCACAGTGCTTCTGCCTCACGTCGCTGCCCTGGCTGAACGCAGCGGCCTTTGGGGCAGCAAAGGAAATTATCCGCGAGCGTCCCTGAAGGCCTGGACTCCATGGGAGGGGGCTGTGCTGCATGCCGCTGCCTGGGAATCGGTCTGTCCGAACCCACGTGGCTGTGGGGACAAGCGAGGTGGCCGGTACCTTGGTGCTGTCTCTGTCCCTGGAGTAACACCGGGTAGAGCTGCTCAATCACCGGGCCCCGGTTTCTCTCCTGTCAAACAGGAGGCTAGTCTGACCGGAAGGGCTGGGGAAACATTGCTGCCCCTTGACAAGCAATTTGAAAATAGCAAGTGCTGACAGATGCGGCACGCTCCAGCGGAGGGGGAGACCTGCGAGGGATTTGTGCAAGTGGTCGCTTATCTCCTAGGTAGCATTAGGGATTGCTGGCTGGCGGCCTGGCACACGACTTTTCTGTTTAATCAGATAGAAGGATCCCTGCTCTCTGAACAGGGGGAGGTCCCCGGTCGGGGCAGAGAAGGGACGCGCTGGCAGCTCGGCTCGCGCCTGAGGACGTTTCACTTGTTCTGTATTCAGAGCAGCTTTCTCCAGTGGTGCCTGAGGTTGCGGAGCAGAGACCGTGTTGGCCAGCAGGGCAGGCCGGCTGAGCACTGTGGGAGAACGGGAGAGCTCTCTGCCTGCTGTTCTTGTCGGGGGAGGTCCCCGGTCGGGGCAGAGAAGGGACGCGCTGGCAGCTCGGCTCGCGCCTGAGGACGTTTCACTTGTTCTGTATTCAGAGCAGCTTTCTCCAGTGGTGCCTGAGGTTGCGGAGCAGAGACCGTGTTGGCCAGCAGGGCAGGCCGGCTGAGCACTGTGGGAGAACGGGAGAGCTCTCTGCCTGCTGTTCTTGTCGTACCTTGGTGCTGTCTCTGTCCCTGGAGTAACACCGGGTAGAGCTGCTCAATCACCGGGCCCCGGTTTCTCTCCTGTCAAACAGGAGGCTAGTCTGACCGGAAGGGCTGGGGAAACATTGCTGCCCCTTGACAAGCAATTTGAAAATAGCAAGTGCTGACAGATGCGGCACGCTCCAGCGGAGGGGGAGACCTGCGAGGGATTTGTGCAAGTGGTCGCTTATCTCCTAGGTAGCATTAGGGATTGCTGGCTGGCGGCCTGGCACACGACTTTTCTGTTTAATCAGATAGAAGGATCCCTGCTCTCTGAACAGGGGGAGGTCCCCGGTCGGGGCAGAGAAGGGACGCGCTGGCAGCTCGGCTCGCGCCTGAGGACGTTTCACTTGTTCTGTATTCAGAGCAGCTTTCTCCAGTGGTGCCTGAGGTTGCGGAGCAGAGACCGTGTTGGCCAGCAGGGCAGGCCGGCTGAGCACTGTGGGAGAACGGGAGAGCTCTCTGCCTGCGGTACTTGTCCCAGCTGGGCCCGTGCGGAGCTACGTGGAGGTTTCTGCCCCTGGCCTCTGAGCCTGGGGAGACAGTGTTGTGGTGAAAGGCAGAGCTGCCACTCTGGTTCCCAGGGTCAGCTGTGGTTTGGCAGGTCACATGCTACAGAGCCACAACAGCCGCGCCCGCTGGAATCACCCCGGCAGCAGGGACTGGCCTTCTCCCTGGCACCTGGACAGCGAGAGGCTTACGACCACATGCTTGGTGTCCTGCTCCCAGGTGTAGCTCAGACAGGCCGTGCAAGCCCGCAGGGAGGCAGTGCTCCCGACCTGAAGGCCTTGTCAGAGTTGCAGAGAGGAGGATGGTCTGGTGGTTAGGGCTCTGGCCTTGGACTTGGGAGACCGGGATCCAGTTCCCAGCTCTGCCACAAACTCACTGTGTGACCTGGGGCAAGTCACTTAGCCTCACTGTGTGCTCAATTCCTCATCTGTGCAATGCGGGTAATAGTCCCAGAGGAAGATTGGAAGTACCCAGATAGGGGCAGTGGAGTAGTACCTTTGAGATCATACCAGAACAATGGCACCTACAGTAGCTGGATTTTCATCAGGGATGTTCCTCATCCAGCTACAAGCATGAGGTAGATGTGGGCTGTGGTCAGATGGGCACAATCGTCTCGAGTCAGACTGGTGCATTTGCTTGGCTGTTGGCAGGACTCGGGCAAC